ATTTCCTGGCTTGGTGGAAAATTGTCATTATGTTGCTGTGACAGTCGAGCAAGCTGCCGTTCTTTATTTATGCTCCCACGAGAGAAGGAGAAGACGGAAACCTCGAATTGTCTTCTTGTTTGGGTACTACTGTTTGCACAAAATCTTTTTTCAATCAGATTTATCAATTAATGGCAAAAGAAATCATCAGATTAAATGATTATTGAAGAAAAATCATTTTTGTAGATCGAGAATTTAAACTTTTACACCATCACATTCATGGATGATCGGAATCGCCAGTTTAAAACCCTGATCCCTAAACGTAATATTTTTTCCAACATTTGTGTTTTTGGATAATAATTGGTCATTTATGTCAATGTTTTTAGTATGTGTATTATTTTCATCCAATATTTTTGTATTCTTTTCAATATTTGCGATTCCGACTCCGGCCTTCCTGTATGGAGTTTGAATGTTCTCCCCTTGCCTGTGTGGGTTTTCTCTGGGTACTCAGGTTTCCTCCCACATTCCAAAAACATGCGTGGCAAGTTAATGGAACACTCGAAATTGTCCTTTGGTGTGATTGTGAGTGTGGATGGTTGTTCGTCTCTGTGTGCCCTGCGATTGGCTGACGACCAGTTCAAGGTGTAGATCGCCTGCTGCTGGGAGGCTCCAGCACGCCCACAAGCCTTGTGAGGATAAACAGCTCAGTTAATGGATGGATGTTTAATTATTTTCTCATAATTTTGTAGTTTTTCTTTTTTTTTCCCCTTTTTTGTCAGCCAATGTTTTTATCCAATTGTAAAAAAAAAAAAAAATGATTTCATACAATACACTTGAGAAAGAGACACAAGCATCTGATAAATAAAATTAAATATTTGAGTCCAGGTATAGATGATGGTACCAATACAAAACAATACCATGTTTAAAAAAAAACAAAAAACATCAGGTGGTCACACAACATTTGTGGTCATGTTATTTTATATTTTATGGGTGGATATGACATCATATTAACTTGTGCCCATTTCAAAGTCCCTCCAGAGGCCCGTGTTCCAATTCTGCGAGCTTATCGCCTGACGCACAAAATTAGAGAGCAGGATGCAAACATTTTATGAAAGCCACTAATCTGCACCAATGGCTGGGAAGGATTAGGCTTGTCGAGAGTCAAAAAAAAAAAGCAAACAAACAAAATGAAGCAAATGTATAGGACAAGTTGGCACACTGGAAATGGACGATTCTAAAAACAGTTGCTTCAGACCAAAATGGCTGACTTTCTTTGCGCGTGCGCGTGTGTGTGTTTGTATTTTCTCCTTGTCTTCTCAAATATTAAATGCTTTAGAAATTTTCGTCCGATATGTTTCAGCATTGCACATAGTACACCAAGTAAAAACGAGCACTGCAGTAAAACTTCTGGAGGAACACGTCCTTAATTTGATGCGCAGCTTTGACGGCCTTGCTGTCAGAGAGTAGCACAATAGTTCAACTTGGAACGCTAAGTTTTGTGTGTGTGTGTGTGTGTGTGTGTGTGTGTGTGTGTGTGTGTGTGTGTGTGTGTGTGTGTGTGCGTGTGCGTGTGTGCGTGCGTGTGTGTGGCACGCCGGGAGACAAGTGGAATGAGAGAAGATGGATGCGGCGGCTTGCAGCTGGGAAAGATAATGAATGAAGTAGACCGTGGGTGGCGAAGACCATCACTAAAAGCGTAATGGCTCCCTACAGAGGGACGAGGATATTGACCCGTCCGTCACTTTTCTCCTCACCGCCCCCCCCCTTTCAAATAAATACAATTCCTCACAAGCGCGTGCACATTGCAGGGGAGATACAAACCGAAAAAGACAGCAGGGCAGGGCTGCTTTTTGGTTTCCTCGTTTTGAAGCGCGAGTCCACGTTTTTGACGGAGGGGCTGTCTCGCCAAACAAACAGACGAGGTCCACCTGCGCCTTGACAGCACGCCGCTCGGAAAGCTTCCAAAAACACAGAAGTGTTTGTCTGCTATAAATGTAACTTGGCCATAACATTAGGTACACCTACAATGGCATGAGAGGTACTCATCGAGCAGTGCTTTTTCACAAATACGACGGTGAGTTGACACGAGTTGAATTTGAAAAGCGCCCGCTTGAGTTCATTGTTATGTAATTTGGTAGACTTCATATGAGATAATGAACAAGATGACATTTGTGAGTCGTATGAGATGAGTAATCGGTTTGTGTTCGCTTGAGGTCCACACTCCCTTTGGACTGAAAACACAAAAAAGATGATGGAAAATGGAGAAATTGTTTTATTTAGGTGGGTCGTTGGTCACAGCAACTCCATGATGTCATTTCTACTGAGTCATTGGGCATCCTTTTTTTTTTCTCTTCCTCTAGAGACCTCAAAATGTTTTTGTGACAGGGTTGCATGTTGGGAGACTTCAAAGTGTAATTTCGGCTTTTTAAAATGGTTTTAAGAATGTTTTCAAAATTAGAATGAGGCCATCAACAAAATCTTCCTCCCCTCACTGCCGCCCCCCCCAAAAAAATAAATAAATTAAGGCAAAATATGCTTGTTGTTTGTCTGTCAAGCTTCCACAAATTTTTGTGGAAGAGCAAAATTCACTTCCGTCAAACATTCCCCCCATTGAAAATCTTGAAAAAGTCTGATAATTTGTTATTGAGGTTTTTATGACCGCATGTGAGTAAATTTTGCGTAAAATACAAAAGGTCAACATTCTAGGTCTAAGTACCAGTAATACAAATAATTTTAACACATGGTTTAATTTTTTTTTTTTAATTCACTATGTTCACATGTTGTACGAAATCTTACAAAGACACATTTTCCTGTCATATTGGCAAACAATTATGATCAAGTGATCGAATACGCCGCTCCTTTCATTACTTTTGTTCTTGTTGGTCGTAAACCACACATAGATCCGACTTTGCCATCTGGGTAATTTTTTTTTTTTTTTTAAGCACTTGTCCTCCTCATAATGGATCTATGACCCACTCATGATGGGTCTGCAATGAGCCATTTGAGAATCACTGGTGTAGAGCTGCACCGGGCGATCACAGCGATTACAGTTTGTGCTTACATGCAGCTCTGCTCCTCGGCGCTGCCTCGCCGCTTGTCAGCTGGCGGCCTCCGCTCTAATCTGCCCGACGACAGAATAGGAAGGGTTGGGGAAGCTAGTCGGGTGTACGTATGTAAAAGAGATGGATGGACTCTGGCCAAACCTGGAGTGGGGGGAGTAGAGGGGGGTTTAATTCAAGATGGCCATGTAATCCGGAGCTAACGCCATCTGACGTCAAGCACTGGCGGCGGTACTTGTTTTTCAATGAGCGCTACAATAACGCAACAAAAACACAAGTTACTTCATTCATGGTGTCAAAGAAAAGGTGTTTCTTTTGGAAATAATGTAGTGTCTTGAAAAAAAAAATCGTTTTAGGTGTCACATGATGCTTGTGTCAAATCTTTAAAACAACCGAAATGTGAAGATCGTCTTTTGATGCTGGAAAAAAAAAAGCAACATAAAGCCGAAGAAAAAGCAAACCGTCACGACCCGGGAACTCACGTTTTTTGCCGGTTGAAGCGCTGCAGCGGCGGCGGTAAAGGGGATTGTGCATGTAGGTCAAGATGAAGGCTCCTGGATTAAAGTGCGCAATCATCCCATCGGATACACACGATGTTGTTTAATCCCTCAAGAGGAACTTATTACAAACTGTGATTGCATTTGCTCTCAGCTTAACAACAAGGAGAAAAAAAAAAAAACGTACATGGCATGCCGCTATGATCTGCTGAGCTCTATGGCCCTCGGCTCCCATTCGCTGCTGCGTGTTTGTCAAAGGTCTAACTGGAGTCCACTCCAGCCCAAATGGGCTGCGAGGCCACCACTAACTGGAATTGTCTCTCATTCACAAAGAGCTTCAGCCCCTTGTGTACTTGACGGGCATTTACTGCCCGAGAATAAACTCCGCAGGGCGATGGGCCGAGGTGGGGGGGGGGGGGACACTAGACTGACTATATCTCATTACTGGCTCGAAATTAGATGCCCCCCCCCTTCCTTTTACACATCTCTCATATGGTTCGATTGATTAGCGGGCAGCCAATCAATGTTAATTAAGGTGTCGAGAATCCTTTAATTGTGCGGTATGAATCATTGTGTCAGACCTCAGCTTGACTTTCGCAAGCGGGCGTCACTCGGCGGGGAAATAGATACCATTTCTGTATGTTGCAAGATAATCATGGGCTGCAAATGAGTATAGATTGGAAGGAGGCCCATCTCGGAGCATTGATATAAAGAAAGACGGTCTCGTTCCAGGTTATGAGAGGGCGAGAAATAATTGAACTCGGGAAAGACAATTACACAAATCATTACGTGTGCAGCGGTTGTTAGCACGTCCGCCTCACTGTACAGAGGTGCAGGGTTGGATTCCGGATCCTCTTTCCTGTATGGAGTTTGCATGTTCTCCCGGTGCCTGCGTGGGTTTTCTCCGGGTGCTCCGATTTCCTCCCACATTCCAAAAACATGCGTGGCAGGTTTAATGGAGCACTACAAATTGTCCTAGGTGTGATTGTGAGCGCGACTGGTTTTTCGTCGATGTATTCCTTGTGATTGGCTGACAACCAGTTGAGGGTGTACTCCGCCTACTGCCCGAAGACGGCTGGGATCGGCGCCAGCACCCCCCGCGACCCTTGTGAGGATAAGCGTATTAGAAAATGGATGGATGGATAATGTGTGCAACATCGAAGTAAGAAGGCTGACACTTTCCATCTGACTCCAATTTAGAGTGCTCAATTAACCTACCGTGCATGTTTTTGGAATGTGAAAGAACACCAGAGTACCCGTAGAAAACCCACGCAGGCACGCGGAGAACATGCAAACTCCGCAAAGGTAGGCCGTGGCCCGCGATCGATCCCATGACCTCTACACTGTGAGGCAGAGGTGCTAAACAGTTGACCGCCGTGACGCCCTTATACCAAATCGTCTGGATCATTTGACCTCATCTGATCTTATCACCGTTGCTCACGTGTGACCTTGTTGTGTGTTTCAGATGCAATAACCGGACACAGTGTGCCGTGGTGGCCGGACCGGACGTATTTCCAGACCCCTGCCCAGGAACTTATAAATATCTGGAAGTCCAATATGAATGTGTGCCATACAGTATGTATTCTCTCATTTCCTCTCCACGACGGGAAGTATTAATGAGCGGGTTATAAACGTACGTTATCTCCCTGGAACCGGAAATGTTTACCCACAGTTATGACATGTTTTTTTTGTCCTCTCCTGCTTCAATTTTGCTTCTTGCTGATATGGGGAAATTGTGAAACAATCTGTTGACCGATTCTCACAGCCTCTGGAAACCGTCGTGGTCAAAAATGTGCATGCATAAAGAGACAGAGGGACTATTTGGAACTTCCTAATTTCGCAAAATCAATTTTATTGCCAGGCAGACCAAGGAACTCCATCTCCACCTCCATCATTTTGAGTCAAATAACCCCCCGACCCACCCACTGTTTTGGAAACCTTCTTGAGTTCGATGGTGACATTACCTGAACAAAAGTTGTGTTGGCGTAAACTAATGAATTAGCATTAACTGAGCACAAGAAGCATTGATTGGCAAACCAAGTTCCCTCACTGAGCTCCTTCCCAGTGTGGACCACATATGAAGGTTACCCAAGGTCAGATGCCGTGGAAGATCAATTATTGAATGTATTGATGCAGGATTGGATGTGCAACATTGGGACGTATCATTTACCGCCTCGAGTGCCCGTTTGCCATGTTTTCATCTCAGCTACCATTCTGAAGGAGGAAAAATGATCCGTTGCAATTTGATTTACCAACGGAGCTGTGTGCGTTTTATTTGAACTTGTCGTGTACTTCCTCCCCAGTGCACTTTCCAGATTAGTTAGACTCCCGTTGGGCTGCGGTGATGTGACCACCCTTTACGAAGCCTCATAAACATGTCCGGCGGATGGCATCTGTCCGCCCCTCTCACATTGACTTTCCCCGTCTATTCTCCTCGATCCTTATTAAAAAGCTTAACTTTCGCCGGAGCGACTCCTCCCGAAGGCCGAGCCCCGGAAGAGGTCACCACTTGTGCGGGTGACCTCCTCAGTGTTCTCAGTCAGCCGTAATGAAGTTCTTACATCTCCTCAGTGGGCCTTCAAATCTGCTAACACGGAAGGAAAATGTCGGCCTTTCGCAACCTGGCTCCACTGTGGGTTTCTGTGCTGTCTTGTTCATCTTAACTATCGCTTTTAAATGTTTTTACACCCTCGCTCCCCCTTGGAAGTTGGCCACTTTTGCTACGTTCCTCATTTTCAGGAGTGCGGTCGACCTCACAGTTTGACCAATGACCAGATGTAAATGTATCAGTCGATGCATCACAGATACTGGCTAAAAATGAACCTATTTGCACTGATTTGGATAATTTTATTATTATTATTTTTTTTTGCATTGAGTTGTGATGTGCGGTATGAGTTCAAGCAGCAGCTGTGCAAGTCTAAGTGGCCGACGGTAACTGGTTTGCAGTGGTCCAGTTCAGTCGCATGCGGCCATGTTGCCGGATGTTACGAATGCAAGAACACGTTGCAAATCCAAATGTGGTCAGAATTGTAGTTCCTCAATACAAGGTAGAATTGGCGTACGGTAAAAGCGAGCTGATTTGCGGCCCGTATTTTTGTGCTCTTTCTGGAACATTCAAAGATGGCGCCCCGACTGTGCCTTCTCAGGCACCATGTTAGAAGCCTCAAGTGCATGTTGTTGACATAATCCTACTTCTATGACATGCATGCAATACCCCGAAGGCTAAAAAGGATGTCAAAAAAAATAATAAAAATTG